GGCCACAGGGCTCATACTAACCCCAGAAGGCCCCAGTCCTGGTTTATATCAGACCTGTTACCATCTTGTTTGAGAGGTTGCTCTGTGAACTGGAACTTGACACCAGGTGTCTCACACTGGGATGTTTAGGTGTGGGATAACAGCAAGGGCCCTGAAACTATGGGTGTGGGCGGAAGGAGAAGGCCCCCCAAACCATCAGTAACTCACGGTCAGTTATTCTCCTTGCAAAAATGAAGTCTTCAGAGCTGGGAAAAAGCTGTTTTAAGAAAGGAAGAATCACCTCAGTTCATCTGCACCTTGCTGACATTTTCCTTTCTTGGCTGGGAAGTGATGCACAAGCATATCCAGCCAAATCTCTACCACTGCTCTTTACCATCCTCTGAGTGTAAAATACCCACTTCAGGGACGTTTCATCCCCAAGTTTTATTTATCATGAAGACACTCCTGTGCTGTCCTACAACAGCTTGCTAGCAACACGATTTTATTATCATACTAAACCAGAACGTTGGTTTTCTGGACCAAGGCCCAGTAACTCATCAACCTGGAAGTAACTCACTAGCCTGGAATTGTAGAATAAGCAGAACCATGTACAGTTTTTTGGCATTTTTTTAGCCCCTCACCTACTTGATACAGATATATCTAGAATGGAGGCTGTTCTGCTCCAAAAGAATGGCGATGTGTTAAATAGGTTGAACAGAGCATAGACAGTTACAGGATCAGAGGTGAAAAGTACACACCGCTGCAAATTTCTGGACCTTACCCCTTGGTCTGCCTCGGAATTCAGTTTTATTAACCAGCAATCCCGACCGGATAGCCAGGCTTCAAAAAGCTTTGGGAAGCAGAAAGCCTGTTTTTTCATCTTACTATTACATAGTGGTTTGTCTTCATCACAACTTTATTCCAAGCCCCTACAGAGCAGCCTTATCAGTGTCACTCAATAGATGCAGCAAGACAGCCATGAAGCAAGGATGTAGGCAAATCTCATTTAATTATCATCTTTACACACCAAAGCCTAAGCTTATGTGAATGTCACGTTTAAATTCTAGGTCTTCACATTTTATTTTTTAACTGTGCATTTGCAATCATTTTTTAGCTTAAGGACTGGTATATCAGAACCATTACCAGTGTTCCTCCTCCCTTTTGTTAGGGCCCACACAAATTTCTGTTCCTACTTTCACCACCAAAGCAGAACAGAAAAAGCTGCCCCCCATCATTCACCTTTCTTCATATCCATAAGCAATAGAGACACGTGCATGCTGTTCCCAAATGTATCCAGTACAACAGCACTACACATGCTGATCATTGCAACAAGGATCGCTGGAATACCGAGAACCTGCAAGTTGAGTGAAGCTAGATTTCCTCTGCTGTCCAAAGAGAGCAATGACATACAGCCATTATTTAAATCCTGCACAATAAGTTACTTTCTGTTTATGGCAGGATATTTTCAGTGGAGCAGATGTTTCAGATGCTGAATCTAACATTGGGTTTCTCAGCATGAGACACCTGGTGTCCAAGCTATTCAAACAAGACAGATTCCCTCCTAAGTGGATCCCCCACCAGAATACATTTATGTATGTGAGGAAGGAACTGAAGATTAGACCAATAGCTGCTCACATAGCTATTACTTTATGTCTAAAGTTACAGTTATTTTAAACGTTGTTATATACTATAGATGAACCTCCTTCCTAAGCAAATTCTGCCTGGTCTCTATTAAGCCTATAATTTTGTTGTTTGTTTGCACACTTCAGTTACTCATTTCCCAGGCCACCATCACTGGCGAGTTCGATTGAAGAGAATTCTTTTTCTTTCCGTGTTGCTATTTTCACTCAGATCATCTCATGGACCTACCAGCACAGCTCTGAGTTCTTTCACACAGCAGGCGTGAGGGACAGACAGACAGGGCAGGGGCCTGCCAGTCATTTGTGAAATCCCATCCTCAAGCACCTAACAATGACAGGGGTTCCAGGATATTACATCCTAATGGAAGGATGCATTTATTTGCTACTTTAAGTTAGGTACTAAAAATGTAGACATTTGTCCTGTGCCTTGTATAGGAAATTTAAGTAAAATGCTTAAATTCAGAGCTGGTGACCCCACTAATAGGGTTAAACACCCACAAGTTGAACACTTCAACACTGCATTTCCTCCAGCAGTAAGTAGCGTCAAATCTTCATTTAGTGAAACTTTTGAGTTGTTTCTGGTCGTGAGGAAGGGATGGATACAAGAGGTCAAGTCCCTCGTGCCTACAAGTTTTTACTTGTAATGGTCTAATAAATCGATTTGTACAAAGGAGCATTACAATAGTAGGCTGTTGGATACACTTTGCTGGTAATGGAAAATTGTCATTTTAGGATTCTAAGCTTTCAGGCTTTTTGCAAATCCTTGAATTATTTTGCTCAAGCTTATTCTTGAAAATTCAACTTATTTATCATAGAATGGTTTGGGTTGGAAGGGACCTTCAGAAGCCATTGTGAGAGACAAGACTCGGTAAAAATAAGTGATGGTGGGGGACCAGGGTCCTCTGAGTTGAGAAATGTCTCAAACACTCACAAGTAGTGAAACTAGAGTCATGGGGTGGATTTTGTGGAGTCTGGAGCTGATAAGGCTGCCTGCACGCACAGGATGCAGCTGGAGGGGGGAGCCCTGTGAAGGCAAGGCCATTCTGCTCTGCATCTTGTAAAGTGTCAAGGGCCATTTGTCCAGTGAATGACCTTTGCTTCATTACCTGCAAAATGCATATTAAAGTTGACACATATGCTAATTAAGATTAACAAGATCATGATAATTTAATAGCATCCCATGAAACAACTTACCCCTCCCCACACATGGGATACGTAGGTGTGTGGGTCAACCTAGGGGAGGGACCCAAGGGAAGTCTGTATAAATTGAGGGGAGGCAAGGCTAACAGAAGAAGTGAAGTGAAAGAGATGGATAAATCCTTGGAACCCTCATTGCTGGGACCAACTCAGGAACCCAAACTGGTGATCTCTGTTTCTATTCCCATCTCTATCTCTCTCTGGCTCTTTTCCCCACTTTTCCATGTTATCATTATGTAATGCAAGACATATTGTGCCGCTTGCCGTAATTTGTAATATACTTAGTCAATTATTGTGTATCCAATTAATATATTGCAGGAAATTAATAAGTGTTTGTGTATGGACTTTGAGACTTGTCTCACCATTGTCCACTCCACTGGGGATTTACGAATCTGAGTCACTTGTCTTCCTCGTCTGAGTGGGATGTGACAGTCACCTAGTGCAGCCCCCATGCAACGAGCAGGGACATCTTCAACTGCATCAGGTAGCTCAGAGCCCCGTCCAGCCTGACCTTGAATGTTTCCAGGGATGGGGCATCTACCACCTCTCTGGGAAACCTGTGCCAGTGTTTCACCATCCTCACAGTAAAATGTCTTCCTTATATAGTCTAACTTTTAGTTTAAAACCATTACCCCTTGTCCAACTGCAACAGGCCCTGCTAAATGTTTGTCCCCATCTTTCTTATAGGCCCCCTTTAAGCACTGGAAGGCCACTATAAGGTCTCCCCGGAGCCTTCTCTTCTCTAGGCTGAACCCCCCCAACTCTCTCAGCCTGTCCTCACAGAGGAGCTGCTCCAGCCCCCTGAGCATCTTTGTGGCCTCCTCTGGACCCCCTCGAGCAGGTCCATGTCTGTCTTGTGCTGAGGACCCCAGAGCTGGATGCAGCACTCCAGGTGGGATCTCACCGGAGCAGAAGAGAATTCCCTCTCTTGACCTGCTGGCCACACTGCTCTTGATGCAGCCCAGGATACAATTGGCTTTCTGGGCTGTGAGTGCACATTACTGGCTCGTGTCCAGTTTTTCATCCCCCAGTACCCCCAAGTCCTTCTCCCCAGGGTTGCTCTCACTCCCTTCATGCCCCAGCCTGTATTGATACTGGGGGTTGCCCTGACCCATGTGCAGGACCTTGCACTTGGCCTTGTTGAACCCCACAAGTTTCACATGGGCCACTTCTTCAGCTTGTCCAGGTCCCTCTGGATGGCCTCTCATCCCTCAGGTGTGTCAACTGCACCACTCAGCTTGGTGTCATCTGTCAACGTGCTGAGGGTGCACTCGATCCCACTATGTCACTGATGAAGATATTAACAGTACCCATCCCAGTACTGACCGCAGAGGGACACCACTCGTCACTGACCTCCATCCAGACATTGGGCCATTGACCACCACCCTCTGGATGTGACCATCCAGCCAATTCCTCATCCACTGAACAGCCCACCCATCAAATTCACATCTCGCCAATTTAGAGAAGGCTGTTGTGGGGGAACCATGTCAAAGGCCTTACAGAAGTCCAGCTAGATGACATCCGTAGCTCTTCCCTTGGCCACTGATGTCGCCACTCCACCATAGAAGGCCTCTAGGTTGGTCAGGCGAGACTTGCCCTTGGTGAAGCCACATTGGCTGTCTCAAATCACCTCCCTGTCCCACCAAGTTTCAGAAATGGCAACTAAGTCACCACTTTCTAGCAGCATGGTGGCTTCCAATTCCTCCTGTTTGTTGCTCATGCTGCATGCATTGGTGTGGAGGACACATCACCCTCTTAGAGGAACACTCCTTATTTCCTTTGAGGTATTTCACTTTTGGATCCTATTATCTCATGAGTCCCTGACTCAGCTCTGTAAGACTTAAGGTGTGCTCCAGTGTACCCAGCAAGTCTCAGAGCAACAGACTGAAGGCTCTCACCAGCACCCCATACCTCTAACCTTCACATGTCATCCTGTGGCTTGTCTGTCATGGGTGAGCCCGATATTCTCCCCCCCCCAGTTCAAGTCTAGTTTCAAGCTCTGTCAATCAACCCTGCTAGCTCATGAGCAAAGACCCTCGTCCTGCTTTAAAAAGGTGAATCCCATATGATGCCAGCAGGCCTGGTGCTGTGTAGACCATCCCATTACTGAAAAACCCAAAATTCTGGTGCTGACACCAGCCATGGAGCCAGGTATTAATAGTCTGAGTCCGTCTGTTTCTTCCAATGTCACTACCCGCAATTGGAAGGATAGAGGAAAAAACTACCTGTGCTCCAGATTCCCTTACCAACTCTCCCAAGGCCCTGAAGTCTCTTGATTCCCCTTGGACTACATCACTGCAGCTTCATCGCCACCCACAAGGAAGAACAGCAGCGGGTAACAGTCTGAGGACTGTACCGTGTTAGGGAGTTCCCTAGTGATGTCCTTAACCGGGCCCCAGGGAGGCAGCACATTCCCTTAAGACGATCGTATTGGACCCTCTGTTCCCCTCAGAAGGGAGTCACAACTGTAACCCATCTTTTCT